GTGATAGGACGTCGAGCAAGCTTATAGGCAATAAATGGATTTAAAATTTTTTTATTTTATTTTAAAATCAAAATTATAATTTTATTGTTGGTATTTGAAATGACAACAATTGTTTCTTAAGGTTTTGTCAATGCTATTTAGTTTAATTAATTTGGTAACTAGTCAATTTCTAAATTTATTTTTCAGCATTTCGGTTAATCTCTACAAACGTCAATAAAAATTCATAAAAAATAACCGTTTCTTTTTTAGCTTTCGATTCATTTGGCTATTAACGATATAAATCATAAATGTATCATTAGAATAATTAATATCTTTTTTTTTGTATGAAAACTACGAAACACCACAACAATCCAACCTGAGACATCGGGATGCTCAGTGAGCCGCCTACGACATACAACTGAGAAGAACTTGGAGGCTATCCTGGTAATGAAACTCGACACCGACCCCACGAAGTATCATTATCATTCACACTTGTGGTATTACGGAGATCGCGTGCCGCTGTCGGTGGCCGTTCATATGGCGTTCTAGGCGTGCTCCTGAATAGCCGCCGCTTGATTCCTGCCAGAATTCCTTTCGTATGCGCCAACAATGTCATTGGACGTACAATAAATGGAAAGACTTCTAGCTAGGAGGAGAGCAACAGGAGTTTCAGCTCTTAAGAGCTTGCTGTAGCCACCAACTTGAGTTAACGAGGGCTGGATATCTCCAATATTGATTTTATAGCCTTAGATAAATTTGAAGATTAGCACAATAATTAGTTATGAAAAGCTCGGATTATACTCAGGTATCTCTTACCGATTCTATTGGTCAGAAGTTGTTAGTGGATTATGGATCTTATGCCAAATGTCCCGCTGAATAAGCACTTCAGAACATCTTTATCACTTTTTAAAACCAAACTTATCTTAGTAAATCTTAACTTGATATAACAAATTGTTAACCTTTTTGTTTTTATTTTCTTTTACGTTACAGTTGTATTTTTTCTTATTTAAATATGTAAAGCTTTTGCAAACCAGTTTCTTTCACTATATTGGGAATCAACACGAGAAAAAAACACTATTAATTTTTTTATTAAAAAAAATATCAAATTTTATATTCATCTTCTCTAATTATTTATAAAATAAATATTATATTTTTTATTTAAGAGGTTAATGAACCCGAGACTTACGCAACATTCAAAATATGAAAAATGATTAAATATAACAAATGTGTCAATATTTAATTTGATACGAAATCTTAAATTGAATTCAATACAAGGAAACAAAGAAAAAAAATTATTTATGTCACTTTGTGTGGAGTGATTTTTCCATACGTTGTAAGCACGGAGTATCGTGCGGACAACGGCTTTGATACACCTGGTTGTCGATGTTGTTTTTTGTTCTGCCATAATGACATAATCACAACCGTTGTCCTGTGGTGTTCTCCGAGCGGACAAACGTATGAAAATTTTTTTTCTTTGTGTAAGAGTTGGATCATTTTAAATGACTAATAAAAAATATGTTAAGCTATGTTTGAAACTAAAAAAAATAATTCAATCACTTTTTTGGAGGGGGAGTGTTCAAATCCGGTACCTTGATATCCTTCTTTTTGTTTCAAACCAAAGTGCTACGCATTCGAGCAGATGGAAGCGGTGACCCTTATTTGGATTCCACAATAAATGTTCCAAATTTAGTCATTCTCATTTCACACCTCTTTGTCTGATCTCATTGACAAGTCTTACCCTTTTGACCTCTTTGAAGATAATATTCCTGATTTTTATCGAGTTTTCTTAGGTGACTTCTGTTATCTAAGATGTAATTAACTATAGGGGTTTGCCCTTATAGGAAGCTTTTCTGAACTCAGCTTAATATAAACCCTATTTAATTCTTCGTGTTAAATAGAGAGAACTTGTCGACAAATGAAATGGTTTCGCTGATCAAATCGATGTCATATGTTTTTTAGTTTGTTTGATCGAGTCTCACCCTCAAGTATTGTGTTTATCTTTTGGGATTGATACGGGATTTGAGGTATATTGCACTTTCATTTAAACTATGGAAGATATGAGATCAGTTGGCGGTCAACAACTTCTAATGGGCAACTCCTCAACTTTTTAGTGCCGACACCAGATTACGAACATTGTGGCTAGGTGTATGTATGAATATAGGAACTTATTCTTGTATGCACACATAGCTTGTATCAACAAGCAATCTTCTTGTTCACAGTAAGTTACATAACTTGAAAAAAAAAATCTTTTCTCATTCGCACCATGTTTACCCAATCAAAACCATAACTAAGAAATAGTGTAGAGTGATATACTTGACATGGGATATCTTGTTCAGGATTATAATTTTTTCTTTGACTTCCAGTCTCATCTAATAATAAGTGTATATTACTCTTTTCAGTAGCAACAATTGCATGAACAGTTGATTTATATTACTTGTTGAAGTTTGAGATGTTCTTAAAATCAGACAACTCATCCTAATTATTTTCTAGTCTTCATCTGTTTTTACAATAAATGCATATATACAATCAAATTAGTTGATATATTTAAATATTCTATACTAAGACAAACCATAAACTTCTTGAAATTTGATTCACCAACACCTATCAAATATTTTAACATATTAATTTTGCAGGAAAGCATAATTATGCCATTTATTATCCTAGTTGTAAGGAGACCTACATTAATTACAATCATCATAATTTATAAGCATAAATGGAGACCTTCATTAAAGATAAAAAAAAATCATAAGAACAAAAGAAGAAGCAAACACAGAGAATGAAAAATATAAAGTTTTGTAATGAGAAAACCTTAGTTTCACCAAGTATAAAACAAAAGTAAACATATATTTAAGGGAATAATTACTTGAAGAACCTTCAAGGCTTCGTTCCTTCTATTTGCAGCTAGAAGTCTAAATTTAACTTTCATTTCTCACTTGCACAAAGCATCATTTCAATCTGATGTGGGGATTAGGACCAAGTACAAAAAAAAATGGAAGGATTATTACATTTTACAACTAAAATTTTAAGATTTTACAGCTACTCAAATACTAAGGGTGGTTGAGTTTCACTCATAAGAAAATGATAATTATACCTTTGCATTACTTTAAAACAATAGAAAACTAACTTAATTCGAACATGTTAATAAGTTGGCCGAAGTCTTAAAGATTATATAACTATTTTTTTCTAATTTAAGTGATTGTCATTATTAATACCAAAGAAATCGATTGAAAAATCTTCTAAACATGAAAAAAGAATGTTCTGAAGTCTCTATATAAAACAAACTTTGAATTATTTCTCAATAACCAAAAAAAATGACTTATTACTTTGGGATAGCAAGATTTAAGCTAAAAATCATGCCAAACCGTGAATTTACATACACAACACTTTTTATGTCATTATAAGCAAATCCTTTTTTATGGTTGTTGTGGTGTGAAAAACAACTAACAAACAGCAGACCCTATCTACTTTTAGAGGAAGTTACATACATAGCACTTAAGACTCCCATTATTACATATCAAACACATTAAATTATTATTTTTTTTTAGAATACTAAAGATTATTTAATCTCTCGAAGTTAGACATTGATAAATTCATTTAGAAATGATAGTCTCTTTCTTAAATTTATCATTTCTTTTTTTGCACAAACTATTTTTATCGAGGGCTTGAGATAAGTGAAAAAATGAAAAATTTTTACCTATGACAAGTTTAGAGCACATTAAATGGATTCTTAAGACGACGACAAAGCCAACTTTTAATAGTACATGTTCTAAAATCTCGTTTTTCCAAAGCTTGGACTTAGAAATTTCTTTGGAAGATAGATTTGCGAGATTTATAGGAGTTGAATCGCGAGAGGCATGTGAGATGAAGGGAGAGAAATAATTGATTCACATATAATTGATTCACATTTCTCAATGGTTTCAGGTAGGCAGGAGCCAAAGGAGTAGAAAGAAAGAAGTTTGAAGGTCCACACACGCTGCGATACCTTCACAACTATGTGTATCGCGAGGGTTTTGTGTACCATGGAGGAAGATGAAGGTTGGCGAGGGTTTCATGCGAAACTAAGTGAGTGGAAGCTTATGGAGCGCACGTGAAAGGATAGTTGTGGTAAATGAGTGAGGGCGAAGAGTATGTTATAAATAAGTTTTTCGCTCGATATCGGGCCAGTTATTATTACAGAGTTTTTTGCCAATTCTCAAATTTTATAGATCTTTTGAATTTTTCTTTTCATTTGAGTCTATTAATTACTAAAAAACAAAAATGTAAAAATTCTTTTATTTATTGCACTTTACATCTATTTTACATATAACCAATAACCCCTAACAGAAATTAATGCATTATTTGTATAAACTTTTTTGTATTTCTCTTGAGCTTCTCATTAAAATGGTTAGAAAATGTTTAAATCACATATTGTGGATCCAAATCTAGTTCATTCCTAAACCTGTTACCATATAACTAAGTAAAAAAATGTAGTCCACATCTAGTTAGAGCCTCTATTTTGAACCAAGGGTTCAAACCACCTATCAAATCTCGGGATTGAGTATTTCATTCAGGTGGTGGGTAAGGGGAGATAGTGTAAGAGCACAAGCGATGAAATGAATAAGAGATGCAACATAACTTACATTAAAAAAAATTAAAATTCATCTTATTCATTGAGTGTAATGAAATAAACAACATGAGCTGATGATGAAGTTGTTTGCATCAAAGATTTTGTTAAGAGAGAATTTACAATTACAACAATGTAACAATGATGATTATTTTACCATTCGAAAAACAAAAATATTTTATTAAAAAAATACTTGAACAAATATATTAAAAAAAAAAACAAAAGATAGACATGTATAGATTTTATCATCCTTTATATTTTATATGGACTATTTTAATTTCTAAATATCAAGTTTTTAAATTAAAATTAAAGAAAACATAATCCAAAATTATGTATTAAAAAAAATAAAATCTCGAAATTCTTGGTTATTTATGCATCCAAATTCATGCATGACGTTGTATACTTTTAGAATATTTATTATTTTTTGGCGGTTGTAAAGCTTCCACCGGTGACGGCCTCTGCTTGTTCAGATGACTCTGAATCAATGGGTGATATGCACTGTTTGAGCAATCGGAAATAATCTCCAGCAGCTTAAAGAAAAGGACGAAGAACAATGATCATTCAAGCGTTACCCCAGGCCTCGGCGGCGACGGGTTGGCCTTGTAGCCTCACCAATCTTCGTTTAGGACAATACCAGCCACTGCAAACCCCAAAGTCCTCTTTCGCTAGAGACTCGCCGGTTCCTTTAAACTGTTCGCCAGGCCGCTTGGGTCTCTTGTTCGTGCCCAGAGCTGCGGATTCTACGCCGCCCGCGTCGGCCTCCTCCGCTTCATTGGACAAAACCATTGTTCCAGATGAAGGCTTCTCAATATCCAAGGTTTCGCTTATTCTTACCATCGTAGCCTTTATCCTTGACGTGAGAGATCTCGTCGTTTTTTCAAATAGCTTCATATTCCTTGTCATCTTCCAAGGGGGCTGTTTGGTCGCAGCTCAGCAAAAAAGAGGAACCTAGATTTTACACGCCCTTGCTACTTCATTTATATTTATTAGTTTGCAGTTGTTATAGGCTTCAATTATTGCTCATGATAAAATCATTAACTGTCTTACTATAGTGCTGCACAAACCTCTGTATATGTGAATAAATCCCACAATTATAGTATTTTTTCTTGCACTTTACTTTTATGAAACATGTCATATCACAAGTCAGTGTGAAGTAGCATAGTTCTTATATATCATATCTTTGAAAAATTTGGTATGCTTGTGCGCGACAATGTGTAGGTCGGTGAAATCTTTTTGGATAGTGGTTAGCCGGGTTGACAAACCTATAGATTGATGACTCTACAGGAAATCGTCAGGTGTCCTTGAGTTAATTTTGTTTTTCCTAACTTCATGATGTCTATTAAAATCGAATATATAAATATAAATTAAATTAAAATTGAATAAACCACCACTAAGTTATTCACTTTTATGATTTTATTTGATTGGAAATTAATCCCATGTGATTATAATTGAGCATATTGATATTTTATACTCCCGTGATTTTCTAATTTTATAAATGCATAACTATCTTTTATTATTGTTCATACTACATGTCTTATTTTCATTCATGCTTTAATAAATAATTTTTATGTATTGAATTTATTTTGTTAAACTTACTGGTTGAAATTTCTTTATAACAGTTTCTAATCAAATGCCAACAGGATTGTCTCTACTGGAGCAGATTTTTTAGTTTTAAATTTTTTATTTTTGGTATTTTTATTGTTTTCTTTAGTTATTATACTTTTCTTTTTAGGTATTAGTAGTTGTTATCTATTTTTCTTTCAATTTTGATTCAGTCAGTTTTTTGCCTTTCTTTCAAATTTATCAGTGGATTATTAATTATAAAATAAAAGTTGTAATTTCTTGTTTATTTATATTATTATTTGCATATAATATTTCTTTGAAAGTATAAAATATATTCAATTCATTTCATCTTTTCTTGTGTTGCCAGAGTATATCGCCTTCCGGACTCATGGTGTCATAGAGTGGTATCAAAACCTATATTTTATATTTAACATTCTGACTTTGTCTTTCATATCCATTGCCTTCTTAGGAATGGGTAGGGGATAGTTTATTTTTTTTAGTCAGTTATTTAGATGTTTTGATTTCATTTATATTTTAATTTTTGGAAAGACTCTGAAAAGAGGCGGTGTTGTAGCCACACATGCAACAGGAGTCTGGAGAGCTACTATAAAAGTGGTACCTATCCTTAGGGTCTTCGCTCCTCCAGTCGTCGTTGTGCTGATCTCGCTCAGTCCACTGAGACTATTGGAGTGCCAAATATTAACATGACGACTCTCATGGAGGTTGTGACATAATATGTACCTCGGTGTTATAAGTTAGTTTTGTAGCTTAAATTGCCCAAGCAGTTCAAACTACTTAGTAAGCGGCACAACTGACTCCACATGTAGCTCAACTCATACTACCAGTTGCCACTGTGGAGGCTCAACCTAATCAAACTGTGGTGATGACTAATGAGAGTATCATGGATCAAGTGATTGAGTAGTTTCTGAAGACACCCTCCTACCCTTATTGACTCGATGGAACTAATCGAGTTTGACCCACGACTTCATGATTTCAAGAAGAGATTTTGAGGAATAAAGTGCTCTAAGAGTCATAAGATGGACATTGTGAAATTTCAATTGCCACACCGCCAGAACACATTGGGACCAGATACAGTAATTTCTTGGACAAATTTTGAGACTGTTTCTGAAGCAATATTTTACTATGACAGATCAAGCCAAGCTTATTAATGACTTAAGAAAACTGGAGCAAGGAATGAAAACTATGCGAGAGTACAAGATGCATTTTGTCAGGATCTTCAAATTCATTCCATTGATTAACAAACATGAGAACTAGAAGATCTACAACCTACTTATTGGCTTGAGAGAGGACATTTGGAGGGGTTTATTGGCTGTCAAGTATATGACTTATAGAGAGTTGGTGGGCTCGATTCAAACTATTCACGCAGAGATAGAGATTAATGCTTGCATAAAAAAAACATGCTGAAAAGCTGAAGAATTTAGATACACAAGCAAATGATAGTTCTCAAAAGAAGAAACATCACAATCATTAGGAATAGAAGTTGAAAACAAATATTCATTGTGTTCATTATGGGAAATAATATTTTGGAACTTGTAACTTGTTCATTGATAAATGTTTCAATTGTTATAATATCGACCGTAAAGCTAAGGATTATCCCATCAAAGGTCTAGGTTAGCCGCAAGTGATCACCAACTAGGAAAACAATTCCAAGCATCAGCACAAGAATGAGTGGCAAAGATCTAATGGAGGTCAATATTAGAAGCATCATAGGAAGGGTCAAGCAAATCAGAATTATTTTCAGTCTCAGCAACAACCGCAAGTGATGGTATCCCAACCATATTGGTCATGTCCTCTTGCATCATAGTACTAGCAGTACTAGCAACTAACTTCAATGTATCAACACTCTCCAACGACACAATACCAATCTCCGTGTCCTCAGGCACAAGAGCAGCCTAGGCAAGCGATTTCTCCTCGAACTTTTTTTATGACACAGGAAGAAGCTTGTGAAGCTCCCGATGTGGTGACATATATTATTCTATTTTAAAGCACCCGACAAAAGTATTGTTTCCCCACTTGGAATAACATTCATTTATATCAACAAATTTGCATCTAGTGCATCGATTTCTTCATTACAATCAAATTTATCCATAACCATGTCATCTTGCTCATCTAGGATCATTACTGAGTGTGTTCATAATTGTGACATTATCATCAATGACATGAATATGCTGCTACACTTATAGTATTCCCACTAGCTGAGTCTATTGCAATTTTGGGTATGGGATGGCTATATACTTATCATGCTATTTTAGATTGTTGTAAGAGATGAGTAAATTTCTATATACCTAGCTCAATTCATTCTAATTTCAAGGGTAATATAGAAACTCTTTTTTGTAGAATATCAACAATTAAGGATTGCATGTTAATCTCCCATGGGCGTGCTAATTACCTAGCTCACGTGTTGGATTCCAACTAATCCAATGCTAACACAGATAGTGTTTCTGTGGTTTGAGAATTTGCTGATGTATTTTCTAAAGAATTGTCTGGCTTACCAATGGATCGCGAGATCGAGTTCACCAAAAACATTCTTTCGGGGAACGGTCCTATTTGTAAAAGCACCATATCAGATGGTCATCGTGGAACTCAAGGATATCAAGGTTTAATTGCATGAGTTGTTCAATAAAGGATTCATTTGATCCAACATTTTAGCTAAGGGAGCACCAGCTCTGTTCGTGAAGAAGAGAGATGAAAGCATGCAATTGTGCATCAATTGCAAAATATTGAATAAGGTGACCGTAAAGAATAAGTATCCACTGTCTTGTATAGATGATCTATTCGACCAACTACAAGGTTCTTCTGTACTTTTCAAGTTCGAACTTTGATTCGGCTGTTATCAGCTTATAATTAAGAATGTAGATGTTTCGTAGACTGCCATTCGATCTTGGTATTGGCATTATGAGTCCTTAGTGATGTCATTTGGTTTAATTGCCCTGCTGCCTTTATGGACTTAATAAATAGTCTTCAAACTTGATCAGTTTATCATCATCTTCATCGATGATATTTTGTTTTACTCCAAGGATGAAGCGGAGCATGCCCAACATCACAGAGTAGCACTGAATATTCTTCGAGAGAACAAATTATATATCAAATTCTCTAAGTATGAATTTTGGCTTCGAGAAGTTACATTTCTGGGTCATATTATTAGTGGAGTTGATATTTTATGGATCTTACAAAGATTAGGCAATAATGAATTGGTTGAGGCCAAGCACTGTCATTGAGATTCATAGATTCATTGGATTAGTTAGATATTATTAGATATTTGTTGAAGATTTCTCTCGTATTGTTGTGCTTCTGTCAGGATTGACTCGAAAGACTGTCAAGTTTGAATGGTCCGATGACTGTGAGCAGAGTTTTCAGAAACTCAAGAATTATTTGTGACAATCCCAATTCTTACTATTCATTCTGACAAAAATGAATTTCAGATTCTACAATGATGCTTCACATCAAAGTTTAGGATGTGTTCTAATGCAGCATGGTAGATTTGTAGTTTATGCTATTAGACAACGTAAGGTGCACAAGAGGAATTGCCCTACTCATGACTTGAAGTTAGCTGCAGTTATATCTGCAATAAAGACTTGGAAGCATTGTCTTTATGGCGTTTGTTGTGATGTCTTATCGATCATAAGAGCTTAAAATACATTTTCACTTGGATAGAGTTGAACTTATGACAAAGGCGATGACTCAAGATGAGGAAGGATTATGATTTGTAGATGCAGTACCACCCTAATAAGGTGAATGTGGTTACAAATGATTAAGCAAAAAATTTTTGATGTATGCAGCTTGAACGATCACTCAAGAGCACCAGTTAGCATGAGAGATGGAGCGACTTCAGCTCGAGATAATACTGACAGGAGCTAATTTTATCATATGTCAACTATCAGTTCAACTTGCACTCGTGAATCATATCTGTGCAGCTCAGATGATGGATGCTGACTTATTACAGTTTAGAGAGTAAGCTCATAATGGATTGAAGCTCGAGTTCAATATGGTTCCGGATGACACTTGGGTGATTCGATGTGTCCCATATCAGGAAGAACTCCGGTAGGATATGCTTCGTGAGGCACATTCTACTCCATATGCTACACATTCAGGAAGTACTAAGATGCATCAAGATCACAATAAATTGTTTTGGTAGTTGGTTATGAAAGTAGATGTTGCTGAGTTTATAGTTAAATGTTTTACCTAACATATAGTTAATGTCGAATATCAGAGACCAGGTGGTCTATTGCAGTC